ATGTGTAGTGTGTACATGTATTAACATGTTTTGGTGCATTGTACTTTGTGGTTTGTCTTCTGTCAACCATCATTACGTCTGTGTATGAGTATAGGGTTATTTTGTCTTTTTAGCATTAGTCAATTTTTTTTTTTAGCTTTTCGATTAAATTTTACCTATCATTCTATGTAGTATATAAAAAATGTCAGAAGACTTAAATGCTGGAACTAGTGGAGATGCTTATGAAAAACTTAAGGGTTTGCATTTATCATCTCTTGATGACGAGGAAGATGAAGATGAAGTTCTAATTGATGACAATGTACATGATGATTTATATGATGATGAGGATGATGAAGACAAAGTACCTGTATCATTAGGCTTTGTGGAGAAGAAGAGGAATTCATGGTCTTTGCTTCGACAGCTGTTCCCAAGCAAAGCTGGGGCTACTCCTGTATGTTTTGTTATTTGTACAAGAGTGTTAAAAAATAGTTGAATTTCTAATGGGAAAATTTTGAGGGTTATAATTTTGGATTTTGCAAATACAGGCTTGGCTGGACCCGATTAACTTGCCTTCAGGGAGGTCTTGTCTTTGTGACTTTTGTGGTGAGCCTTTGCAATTCATGCTCCAGGTATGGTGAAATTACTTTTCTTTTGATTTGCTGTTTGATTCTTTCTTTAATTGATATCCTTGAATCTTATGTATAGTTTGTCCCCCCTATGAATTTATTATTGATATTTTTATTTTTAAATTTTTCGGATTTTGAATTAATTGAAAAACATGAACCATTTTACTTTTTTTAGTTTAATTTTAATTGCCATACTTGGCTTTCACATGTTGGAAGGAGAACTAGTTATGATCTCAATAAATTTATACACTGTATTATTGTCTTCCTGTTCCACCCGTGAGGAGTTATTAGGTGGACTAAATTTTGGCCTTTTGGGAGTTGTTAGAAATCCTGCTCCTTGTACTCCATACATATTGGTTTGGATAAAATGGAGGTCTCCAAGGTTGCTTTTTAGAATTCAGATAGACTAACGCTTCCATATCCACTAAAGTTTCTAATTTCTAAATGGTGCTCTTCTTTTATTTTGCCTTTTGTGTAATGATGAAGAAGAAACAGCTAGCTTATCTTATATGGTTTCCCTTTTCTACTGTTGTATGCTGCTAAGTCCTAAAAGTATTTTTCATCTACAAAATGCCCAATAGTCTAAAACATAGGCTCAGGAACTTGAATGGTCACTGCAGATCATTACTGGAAATGATTTCTATATTCGATTAGTAAGCTAGCCTTGCTAGGTAAAGTCTTTGCCATTTTCCTTGGTGTATAGTGATACCAGAATTTGCAAAAACAAGTTCCAATATCTTCTCGATGGTTTGCTTTTATGATCTTAATAGATATCAAGAGAGTTATCCTTCACATTAACTGATCAAAAACCTGGATCTTTGCTTCCTCTGGAACTTTTAGGTATCCCATCAGAACTTTCTTTCTTGTGTAAAGGGTCGTGTAAACTCTTAATACTGTACACACCTTTTCTTGAACAACAAGAGGCACTTTATTTTTTAAATATGAGTGTGTTTTAGGTTTGGTTGAGAGACTAGATAGGCCTTGTGTTTTATATCTTTCCAAGAAAATGCAGCTGTAAGTTATTTCTTTATTCTCACACTTCTTTATAGGCCTTGTGTTTTATAGGCCTTGTGTTTTATATCTTTCCAAGAAAATGCAGCTGTAAGTTATTTCTTTATTCTCACACTTCTTTTTCTGTTGGTTAGTTACCTGTTCAAGTATTTTTTTTTTTGTTCCACCATTTTTATGGCTTTTATTGCCTCTTATTTCAACCATACATGGCGTACTACAATTGTCATACTGTTGGGGAAACAAAGAACAAAATATACTATTGTTATTGTTATTATTGTTATTATTATTATTAACTTCATTGTGTAGGTCTATGCACCACTAACTGAGAAGGATTCAACATTTCATCGCACAGTTTTTGTCTTCATGTGTCCATCAATGTCTTGCCTTCTTAAAGACCAGCATGAACAGTGGAAACGACATCCAGGAGCTACATTGCGAAGGTATCATTTTCAATCTAGCGTTGTGCTATAAGCTTTTCATTATGCTTCTTAATCCTATCTTCTAACTCTGATTTCTTACTATTTGTGAAGTGTTAAGGTCTTTCGCTGTCAAATGCCTCGCCTCAACTCTTTTTATTCAAGTGAACCTCCAAAAAATGATGGCACAGATAAACCTTCTGGAGATGGAGGTAATTTAATGCTTGTCATGAACAATCACTTCGTTGTGTAACATTTCTAGCATATGTTATAAATTAATGGAGCTGGTATCCAGGCCTCTGAGCTTGTGCAGGCTTCCACCTGTTTTAATTCATTTGGCTGCCAATGCCTTGTTATAGTGCTTGGGAATTTTATAGGTTGCCACTCTTTAAGAATTAATGATTGTATATGTTGTGCCATCTTTCCGTTGATTCTTACTGTATTTTCTCTTTGATGCTATGGTGTGTGTCTCAGCTGCACTTTGCAGTTGGTGTGGTACCTGGAGAGGAGATAAAGTTTGTAGTGGTTGCAAAACAGTTCGTTACTGCTCTGAGAAACACCAGGTCAATAGATATGCTTTACTTCTCTGCCCTTCCTTTGGGGGGGGGGGGGGGGGGGGGGGATGGAGAGGGTGGGTTGTCTTTCTTGTAGATCCCCAAATGCTAAGATCCTTGTCTTCATTTTCAGGCTGCTCATTGGCAATCAGGTCATAAGAAGAATTGTTTCTCCAACATTTCACTGAATGAATCCAACTCTAATGGCACAGCTGCAAGGATGCTGAAAGGTAATTCATTATAGATACCTACAATGGCAAGTTCAGTATAAAGTACTACATATTTTCTTTTGCATTGGAGGCTTGTTTCTTCATGTTAGCCTTGTAGAGTAGCGATATGATTGTCTATAAATTTATGAAATGTTATATTACTGAAGCACAAGTGAACAGACCAAATTACCAATATACCATTTTCTTTGTGGTTGGATAATAGTTTTTTTTGTCAGACCATGAGGTGTCCTAAGCAGGTCCTAACTGTAGGAGGCACCTTTAAGCCCGTACGGTACTCAGCTAATCCCCATTCGCACCGGGCTGGCCCAATTAAGGGGCAAAGTGCTGGCCAGATTGGTTTTTCCATACGAGAGGGGGTTCGAACTCCCGATCTCTCTTAAGGGATGAGAGTGCACGGCCACTCACACCAACCAAGCTGGTTTGGTTGGATAATAGTTGATACCAAGAATACTGAAGTATAAGAAATTCTTGTTGATGTGTATCGTGTCAAATAATCTTACATTGACAGATAAAACTCTAGCAATTATAATGGTATTGAGTTTATGCTTACACTCAGGTAAATTTAATTTGCAAACAGTTGCAAGTAAATCTTTGTGGCCAGAGTATGAGATCTCAAATGAGGATGAATGTGATGAGGTATCTGATGATCATACACATTCCACATCCCTGGTTTCTGCAAGCCAAGCGGATGAAACATACAATTCACTGCTGGATAGCTTTGAGGTAGCCATTAGTATCCCATTGATGTTGAAATAACCTTTTATAGAAGTATCATTTTTGTGGTTACTTGGTTACTTGGTTACAGGGGGATGATGACAAGAAGAGTTGGGCATCTTTCCAGGAGAGGATATCGCGTGCCCCTGACCAAGTGTTGAGGTACAGGACCCGTGTATTTTTGGAATTTCTATTTTTAGAGGCACTAGTGACTTCGGAATCTTGATAAATATAGTGTAAAATAAAACTTAGTTTGTCTTTTCCCTCAATTTTTTTTCTTTAAGAACCATGCTACTTCTATCTATAACAAGTTTACTGTCTTGATTGCCTTATAAATAGGTATTGTAGATACGCTAAAGCTAAACCCTTGTTGCCCGTGTCGAGTGGCCAGCCATCAAACAGTGACATCCCAAAGTGCAGCTACTGCGGTGGCCCTCGAGCCTTTGAATTTCAGGTGATTTATTTGATTTTCTCTGGACTAGAGCCAGTTACTACTTTCTTGTCGTAACTATTACATTTGTTAACTATTCCTTTTTTTCCGACTACATTGTGCTAATAATGCCCAGAATTTAAATTGCCATTATAAAAATTCTTTTTGCACTTGTTCATTGTATGAAGTCCTTCCTGTTGCAGATTTTGCCACAACTTCTTTACTACTTCAATGTGGGAAATGATGTGAATTCTCTCGATTGGGCAACTGTGGTTGTATACACATGTGAAGCCTCGTGCGAAGGAAGCATGGCTTACAAGGAGGAATTTGCTTGGGTTCAAGTTGCATCCCAGTCAAATGCTTAGATAAACTGAATCCAAAGCATTGGATTCATGTTTGGATGAAGCAGATTAGTACATTTTTATTGCGTGGATGAACTTCTATTATTCCATTACTCTCCAAATGTGGGCGTTTCAAGTATGGCGGTCTCTTCCAACCATATGAACTTGGGAAATAGAATCTCGTCATAATCAATATTCTCCATACACACCTTAACCTGGTTTGTACAAGCATGTGTGGATCCTCCAACAGATAATGAACGAACTGTGGATATATATTATGGTAAGCCATGGTGTATGTTTTATGCCATCGCTTTTGAGTTTGGATTTCCTAGCATCATTGGAGTAGAAGTTTTGGCAAGATGGATTGAATTAAGAGGTTTAGTTAGTCAAATTTTGGGTGGTTTTTATTATTATAGATTTTTTAATGTTTTGAATAGAATAGAACTGAAATGAAATATATATTGCGGTTTACATCTATTGTGGCAAAATTTATCTTTATTGCAAGTTTTTGGAGTTCAATGTGCTCTTAATGTGTTTATTGCTCTTAAAAAAGTTATGATGGGTTTAAATATATAACATAGTAGTGGTTGAGGTTTTGTTGTTGTTGGTGGTGTTGTACTGATTGTTATTTTATGTTTATTTTTTTTTCATCAAAATTTACTGTTATTTTAATTTTAAATTGAACACGGATTTATTTTTTTTCTATTATTGTTTTATATTTTAAAAAAATGATATTGCTTACTGAACAATTATAAAAGAGAAGATATTGACTTAGGAATATTTGGGCTGGTATCAGTAGGATGAAACATTGATTATTTGGTCATTTTTATCCTCTTGTTATGGATAATATTAAAACTGGCATTTGCAAAGACAAGGGATGATCATTCATATTATGTTAAGATCATTAAATCAATTTGTATGTATTTTGTATTTAATGAAAGCTTACCGTCTGTCCTTTTATATTACAATCATTATTTCATAGACCAGGGTTCACATTGCACTATGGAGTATGAACCTTGGTTCATGTGTTTGTGTTGTGTTGACTTTTTGTGTCTTGCATTATGAAATTCTGTACCTTATGAATACGAATTATATACCTAAAACAATTAGTAATTGTGCCTTATGTTATGAATTTCTGTGTGCTGTGAAATTTTGTGCCTATAAAGACAAATTATGTATTTAAATTAGATTTGAAAAATAAGTAAATATATAACATGTGTATGTCTTGTGTTATGAAATTTTGTACTTTACGAGTATGAATTTTGTACATCATCTTTTCAATCGACCTGGGGCCATAATGCTATGCTATGTGTTTTGTGTACGAGTGTAAATGAGCCGAGCAGCTCGTGAACCGCTCGGCTCAAATTGGCTCGTTTCATAATTGAGTTGAGCTAGAGCTCAAATGTTTTAGGCTCGTGGCTCGTTGAGCTGCTCACGAGCCACACACACAGAGCGGTTCGGTCAAAGCTCAACTTGAGCTCGAGCTTCAATTTTTGAGCTCGACCGAGCCACGAGCCTTTTGTTTATCGAGCTCGGCTCGTTTACACTCTTAGTATTGTGTTATGAAATTTTGTATGAATTTTACACTATGCTGTATAGCACCATAGAAATTCTTTTTTATTGTGTAATGTATACATTAGTTAAAATTTTGGCCCATGTAAGTCTTGAACCTGCGACCTTCATGTTATTAGCACGACACTCTAACCAACTAAGCTAATAAGCCACATTGTACATCAAAGGTCAATCAGCCATAAAATATAATTTATTTAATTTTTTGTTTACCTATTGCGCGGGTGGCTAGGTAAAGGCACTAGTTATATTGTGAATCAGGGTGTATGTTGCTATATGTACCTAACATATATATATATATATATATATATATATATATATATATATATATATATATATATATATATATATATATATATATATTTCAAATAAAATTAGTGTATAAAAATACATCTTTAAAAAGTTTGAATTGTGATATAAGGTGCAGATCCAGTGAGATCATATGATACATGAGATCGTGAGATCTCATCATATCCATGTATTCATTCTCTATGAATGGTTGAGATTAGAAGAGAATCTTAATGTAATTACGGATATATTGAAATGAGAAGGATTAAAAAATAATTGTAGTATTTTGTTAATTTTGGATAGAATTAAATTCAAATCTTTAAGCTAATATTATGGACAATATCATGGTAATAATTAATTTGTATTTGTTTAACGTAGGTCTTCACAGAATAGTGAATGCAAAGAAGTCTGGAAACGGAAGAAACACCAAAGCATACGATTAGCTAGTTGAAAAAATTGGTATGTGCATATGAAATAGTTTTTTAGGTGTTTTGGTACGGTGCTGTGTGTGTGGATGTGCGTTGACGTGTGCAAATGTCTGTTTTGTTTTTTTTTTTTTTTTTTTTTTTTTTTTTTTTTATGTATAAAGGGGGAAGTGATGATGGTAGTGTGCATAGTGAACGAGGCTCAAACAATTTTTTTTTTTTTTTTTTTTTTTTTTTTTTGGGTTTTTGTTACCAACATTATATTGTTACTAGTATTTGACCCGTGCGATGCACGGGATGTTATTTAAACATTTTTAGTTGTGTGTATTTTATGTTAAGATTTGTGTGATATATTGGGAATACAGCGCCAAAACGTATGAAAGATGAAAATACTAATAGTTGCAAGGTGTTGGTAATATAAAAACAATACATTACAAAATTACAAATTATTGAAAACTTCATGATATACAACATTAGTGGTTGATGTAGTAGTTGAACTTGAGTCTTTTACAATCAGTATTTTCAGACCGTCTGAATTATTAACCCGAGATGCAGCTACGTACAACTGACCGTGTACAAAAACCGATTTCTTTAGTATTAGCCCTACATGAGTCAACGTTTGGCCTTGACTTTTGTTTATGGTCATCGCATATGAAAGCATCAATGGGAATTGCCTTCGTTGAAACTTGAACGGTAATCTTGGATCCGAGGGTGACATTGACATTCGGGGAATTAACACTTTTGTACCTTTGTTGGGACCAGTGAGAAGCTCACCTTCAATAACATGGTCTGCTAACTTTGTGATTATCAACCGAGTTCCATTGCACAACCCAAGAGAATGGTCAATATTTCTCATTAACATTACTGGTGAGCCAATTTTCAAATTCAGTGTATGATTTGGTAGACCCGACACACAAATGCTATTTAGAAATTCCGGGGTGTGTACATCTCCAAGTATACCATTATCACCGTCGGCTTTGCATACTGCGTCTGAACTATAGTAGGACCTGCTTTCGGCATCATGCAGCTTAGTTATATATTCATTAACTGCGTTGACAACGTCCAGCGTTGGTGCAAGTATAGCACGACCTATCAGATGCTCAAGGTCAGTGTTTCCAACTGCAAACATTGGAAATGTACTTTCCACAATTGCTTTAATGTCGTTCCCCCCGGATGATACTAACATGTGATTAGGTATTTGAACCTCTGCGAATCCGTCATTCCGCCCACCAAGCTTTCCATCGCCGATATTGGCAATCCAGTTAGCAAACTCTTGTAATGCCTGCCCGTTCACCCCGTTGTGTACCGAACTTAGCCTTAGGTTTTTAGTCAATCTTAAAACTTTGCAACTATCCCATAAATATGATGAATTTATAGCGGACGAAACAATGTCTTGACGTGTACCTTTTGGAACTACTGGAAGAATTTGGCGGAAATCTCCACCCAGGACCACTGTTTTACCACCAAAGGTCTTCATTTCACTGTTAGGGTCAACAAAACGCAATAAATCTCGCATGGTTCGATCTAACGCTTCAAAGCAATGTTTGTGCATCATAGGGGCTTCATCCCTAATTATCAAGCTCGTTTTTATCAACAATTCAGCCAAGTCGCTACCTTGTTTAATGTTACAGGTAGAGTCCTCATTTATTGCAATAGGTATTGCAAATCTCGAGTGAGCTGTTCGGCCACCTGGTAACAACAAAGAAGCTATGCCACTTGATGCGACATTTAAAACGATCTGGCCTTTGCACCGGACTGCAGCGGATAACGCTCTCCATAAAAAAGTCTTTCCTGTCCCACCGTATCCATAAACAAAAAATAACCCACCTTTATTGGTTGCAATATCTTGGATAACAGTATAAAAAATGAGACCTTGTTCTTCTGTTAGTTTGGCACACATCAGTTCAGAATCTTTCTTCAATCGTTCCGTATTGTAACTCAATTCTTCAAAAACCAATCGATTTTGAAACAACCTTGTATTATCAGTACTTGGTGTGGGCATCGGAGGAAAGTCTTTTAAAGACTTGTTCTGTTGCCCCAACAGGTTTTCCAATTCCAATAATCCAAAGTTCTTTTTCTCTTCCTCTGTTAAGACCAAATCTGTTATAATAGCAACATCCAAATTGTTATATGTATAACCTAAGAAAATTGTTGAAAATTATATTGTATAAAAAAAGAAGTTATTTTACCTTGTTGTTTTAATATTCTTCTTTGATAATGTTGAGCATCTTCACACAGATGTTGCCAAACTTGATTCCAAACATTTTCGGGTCTAATAATTGAGGATGATGTTAGTAAAACAACAAATAGCTTCCTCAATGAATGTGCAGTTGACCAGTAGCTTGCCTCATTTATAACATCAATGTACTCTTTATCGTCGTCTAGCAATCCATGCGCATAACACGCATCTCTAAACGTGAAGTACTCAACACCGTTAACTGTCCTAATATCTTTGAAACTTTTTGAACCACGGACTATGTTCAATAGACACCTCAAATAATATATCTCACCTGAAGCTGGAGGTACATAGAATATTCGACCAATTGAGGTTCTATTGGTCTTTCTTGGATGCTATTCACGGATGTCTTTTTTCCAAACAAATTTGGTAGGCATCTCAATGTAAGTCAACAAACTCGCTTCTTTGTAATTCTGGTTGGCTAAAAACCATGCATTAAACATGCTTTGACCAACAGTTTCTCTATTGAGTACATTATCAATACTATCATCGTCTTGGAAAACAACTGATTGGCAATCCGGCAAGTGGAAGCTCAATCGCTCAACAGGGGGAGTTCTATACTGGACTTCAAAACTAAACAATCTCCAAGCTGCTTCGCATGCAGATACGTATCTGCAATCATAGTACATGTTTATCTCATCCACAATCTCATTACCCGCTTCATCCATCGAAGTCTTATAAAACTCAGCAGTTACACGGTCGTTGCCCTTGTTTACATACTTGAAGAGGTACTTGATTGACCTAGATTAGTTACACCACTCTACATTGATGTGAGATTTGTATTTCAAAAGCAAGTACCGATTATGTGGTACAACATATCTATTATCCAACTCTATTCCATTCTTTTTGATTGTCCTCTTATCATCCCTTCTTCGATACAACGGGTAACCATCTTGGTCAAAATGTGATGCATCAATGTATCTTTTTGGAAAATGCTTTGAACACTTGCCATTTGCCATGCACAGGGATTTACTCCTTGCAGCACCACATGGGCCGTGCAGCATGAATTCTTCGACAGCTTGGTAATACTCAATGTCTGAACGCTTGTCGGGAATCTCGGCTGAAATGATCGTGTCCATAAAAGTCGGGTTGGTAAAGTCGTTGGTCGCTTGTAGGAACAGTAATATGTGAGCATGCGGAAGACCACGTTTTTGAAATTCAACCGTGTATATTACTGTCAGAAAGGCATCCATATTGTTAGATATAAGCTCCATATAATAATAATTATTATTCTAAAAAATGACACTTATAAGCAACTGCAGTACGTACCTGCCTTTACGCGACCAAATAGTTTCCCATTTTTTATTTCTTTGATTAAACAGTCTAGCTTAAGTTTGAAAACACGGCAGACAATGTCGGGACGATCTTCAGCTTTCAAGTTTCTTTTCTCCAAGAATCGTTGTATCTCGGGCCATTTAGGATTACATGTAAAAGTAATAAACAGATTTGGATAACCTATGAATCTGCAAATTGCCATGGCGTCTTGATAGTTCTGTATCATGTATCTTGCTCCTCCGGTGAAACTTGATGGTAATATTATTCTTTTCCCTGTCGAGCTGGGTTGAACTTCACCGCGGGTCAGCGCATCAGACAACCCTTTGTACGCCTCACACCTCAAAGCTTTTTGATTTGACCTAATATAGAGCAACCTCGAAGATTCAACCATAGTATACGCATCAACCAAGAATTGTTGGAATAACCTTTTAGCATACATTATTGTTGAGATCTCATTTGATCTTTCGTGGATACGGAACGCGAAGTACTCTCTTTGTGAAACACTCTTTCTTGCAAAATCTTGTTTTGTACCAAGTGTTGCAAAATGTATATCTTCTCGAAAACCATCCTCCCCGTATGGAAATAAGATTGGGTATTGCAGTGGTAAATATGCCGGGTTTAATTCATTTATTCGTTTCAGGGCTCCAGATCTACACTCGACAACAATATCCCGTTGACCCATGTACGGGTCTATATCTCCAACAATGAGTGCAGCAACCTCGGAAGTAGTTGGTAACGCATAAGTCCTGGCATCTTTAGTCCTCTTTCCTATTAATCTCATTCTAATTTGACGTTGAGGATTAGACTCCAGAAACGACTTGGCCATTCGGAATGACTTAACCAACACATTGTGTTCATCTAGCACTTGCTTAATGTCATGTACTACCTCACTATGCAATGCAGACCCATTGTTTTCGGCCCTAAACAAAGAAGAATATATAATATAAGATTCTCTGTATTAACCCACGATATACCAAAAAATTTGCAGTAACACAAAAGAGTATACCTCACAGAGTTTAAGCGATTGTCTATCTCATTCTCTGTATCGTGAATGTATAATTGGGCAAATTTCGGTTGAATGTCATCTGAAGGTAATAAGCTTATGAAAATTTTGACCATTTATACGAAATATAGGAGGCGATGTTCCGTTGTTAATAGTTCTGTCAATTTTTCCACCCATCGACGTAAAGCAGAACATGCTGTTATATGACCTTATATTCTTTAAAAAACAGCTGTTTTTTTCGTTTGATGTAAAGAATAGCTCATATAGCTTTTGAGGAGGCTTTGTCATAAATGGCAACTTTATTTTACCATTGACGCAACACGCAGAGTATTTTGGACTTTCACGTGACTTTGAATTGCTTGACCGTTCATTGTACCAAAAAAATGAATTACAATGCTCGCAAAGATACTCTGGATCACCAAGATCAAGATAATAATCTAAAAAAAAAAAATTATATTAGTTAGCATGATAATGTATTTTAGTGTAGTCCATGGATAATACATTTTTCTTCTAACACATTTCATATGAACTCACCATTAATTGAGGGCATATTGTCATGTAACGGTTCAACAACTTCCTGAAAATCTGTCATCAAATTTCGGTAATTCGGGATGGTTTCACTATCCGGCTCTACCAGGGCTGTTTGCATATTATTGTCATTTGTAATGCAACAATTACTGTCCATCCCTAAAAGAACAATATCCCATTATAATTAATTTGGTTAAATATTAATTTAAGCATTATAACTGTGTGACAATTAAAAACATCTTCTTGAATATATATTTATACCGATCTGCGACTCTGGTGATAGATTTAAGTCAAAGCAGTAACTTTGACGGTTAGATGGAGGCGGATTGCCGGCGACCACATTGACTTGACCGCAATTTGCTTTAATAAAAAAGATATGTTAATAACTATTCAATTTGACTATATATATAATTCATTAGTAATCTTATTACAATATATTTGTTGAACTTCATACCATTTGATATGTTGCTAAATGGCATTCTGCAACTCAATTCTTGCGGTGGTGTAGTACGTATGGTCATCCGTAACGGAGAAGAAACTGTGCATTGCAACAACAACGATTATTATTAATCATTAGAAAATGTAAATGACTACAGGGTTCTTAATTCGGAAAAAATGCATCAATGGATTCTAAATTTATACCTAGCTGTGAATCTGGGGTTCTATTTAAGTCGAACGAATGATTGTGGCGCTTGGTAATAGATGCTTTTTCACGATCACCGTCAACTCGAGCAGAATTTCCTTTAATTATATAAGAGCCGTACAAAACACTTGTTAGGATGTTAATTATCACATTTTTAAAAATATGGTACGTTAAAAATGTTTGTTTAGGTTCGTACTATTGGATATGTTGCTTAATGGTATTCTGCTACCCAAATCTTGCAAAGGGGAATTACGAATTGTCGTCCGAATTGCGGTTGAAGCTGTGAATTTCACAACCAACATATGTTAACAACAATTAATTATATAATTGCACTATCATATAGAACACACTTACCATTTGTCACAATACTTAAAGGCGTACTTAACGAACTTTGGAAAACACCACGTAGGGGTGTACGATTGTGTTGTATTGTTGCTGAATTCAATGGACAACATGTACGATTCATCAATGACAGTACGATTTTCATTCTCTGTAAACAAAAAAACAATGATATAACTATACATGATATGTTTGGTATCTCAATTTTTTGGATTCATACCGAATCATATTTTACTTATTGCATGATAGTGTGTAAATGATGAGTTTACTTTAATCATAATATTAGAGTTAATTCTAAACTAATATTAATACTTTACAATTTCACAATAATACAATTTTATTATATCAATATTATATATGTAAATATTATATAATATAATATCATGGGCTTATTACTAATAATAATATAATACTTTTATTAGTACAAAAAACCTTTAAATGTGTAGTGTTATAAACATTTGATGGTAACAAATCGCAATAATAACAAATTAATATAAGAACATTTATTATAAAAATGTTAGTAATATTAAAAATAATATTAATATTTTTAATAGTAATAATAATAATTACAAAGTTACCAATTTCTGGGCTGTGTTAACTATACTTAATAATAATAATAATAATAATAATAATAATAATAATAATAATAATAATATTAAGAGTAATAATAATAATACTACTAACTCATGAGATGATACTAACACACAACTAATATATAATTAGTATTGCTTGTTGGGAAAAATTACACAAATACCCTAACCTAATGCCCACACCTACGGCTGAGATTGTTTCAACATCTGCTTCATTTCGAGAATGTTCACTCATTCTCCATTTCCGTAGCTAGTAGACATGCTCTTCTTCACTCTGGAGTTGGTTGAACCACATTTCCAGAAACTCTCAGCACGAATTTTAGCAAATTCATGAGATGATGCTATGGCTTTACGTTAATATCTCAGCGCTGATCTTGTCTGGATAACAATTTTTAATTTCTACCACCCCAGGCCGTTGCGATCTGTACATTCTAGCAGGTAACTACTTCAATTTCTTAGATGAATTTTCTATTCCGTTAAGTTATCTAGCATATCTCTCAGTTAATTCCATTTCTATCAAAAACTTCTTAACAAATTGAGTAGATACGGTGAACCCTAACTGTTAAGGGTTTGTTTAACTACTAAGTCCCATTAAAGTGTAGATCTGATGAAATCCTTCATTGGAAATCACATGCACCTGGATTTTGAGAAAAAAATTGGATTCTAATGTTAGTATCTGCATTATCTTGGTGGATTCGAAGTTGTAAAGCCAGATTTTTTTATTTTTTCTTTCATTTTGTTGTTTGCATATTTCTTTTAGAAGCTATTCTAATATTTGTCAGGTGCATGTTGGGATGAAGAAAAAGTGGGTATTGATTACTAACCCTAACTGTTATAAGTTTCCAGATCGTTTTTAATGTTTTTAGTAGAGTTTCAAAAAATCGTATAATAGTTGTATAAACTAAGACAGAATAGTATAACAAAGATAGAAGTCGGTAGATTTACCTTGGTTGTTGCTGGGATGCTTGCGCTTCGAACCAATGGTGGTTGAAGATGTAAGTTTCCTCATGTATTCTAGGGGAGATGAATTGCAAAGTTATGGATTTGTGTAGGTGTGGTGCTTAACAGAGGTTTATAATATCTGATTGTTGAATATATAGGTGTAAATTAGTCAATTAATATTTGCAGACAACATTGGAAAATGTCAATTATAATTGATTTTGGAATACTAAAAGGTTTTGATCAGCTACTTAATGCAATGTGCCATTAATATATTAGCTCATTGATATTATTACTACTTGCTTTTTCATACTAAACTAGATTTCTGAACTTTGTTTAGATTCTAATAATGTTTCTTATTTATCTAATATATGTTGTTTTCCAGGTAACAATCAGTGTGCTCATCTAATTTAAGAGAGTTAAATTTGGATGCAAATAAGTTGCTTTGGGTTTGACATCAAAAGCAACTATTAACTGGATGCACCTGAGTTGAATAGAGCACAGAATAAATAGATGTTGCGATATGTTTTTAGCACAAAATGGGAATTGTACTAAAGAGGTTGCTACGCTTGGAACTAAGATAAGTTTTACATTTATAAAATTGGTTTAATCTAATGTGCCTTACGTTGATTATAATATTCTCTATCTTTTCGTACATTAGATGATGCTTATATGATTTTAATACAGTTAATTGAAATTCTCCAATTGCAGGGAAGCTGACAACAATCTGTACTACACTATAGGTGTTTGAGTAGCCCTCCATATAAGAAAGAGGCTGTCAAGTCTATCGTAGGAACAGTTACTACGCAAGGCTCAGAGATAAGTTTTAATAGACTTACAAATGTTGAATATTATGTGATTACCAACAATCAGCTCCTTTTGTGTGTTCATAAATTAGACAGTGTTTATAATGAGTTACCCAGCTAATTCCAATTTTGGCAACTGCAGGTAAGCGGCTACAGCAACGTTATCACCTAACATTAATTTAGGAGGCTTCCTAATAACAAAGTTGGTGAAATCAAATGGTAATTCACTAATCAGCACTAAGTCCATAACTATCTTTCCGCTATAAATCCATTTATTAGAATTTGACTATGATGTGGCTGCCAGTACTATTTTTAATCAATAACTTGTTGTTTAAAGTGCAGTTAGGATGGTATCAAGCAAATGTTGCATAAAGGACCTGGAAGTGAGCATAAAAGTACTTTGAAGTGAGCTTTAAGATGACAGAGGCTGGTAAGTACGTAATCAGGTCTATTCATGCCTACTTGGCTCCAAATTTCTACTTTCATTAACAAAATAAGTTTAAGCCCTTGGTTTAAACATATTCTAAAGGTGTTGAGTAGCAACCAAGGATTGCAAGTGTACTGTTTTAATCATACATTAAAATTCTCAAGTTAGAGTACCTAATTACTTTTGATGGTTTATATATACAATATTACAATCTGATATTCTGTTTACATTATTAGTGGAGTTAATTTTGGATGACAATGAGTTGCTTTGCTGTTAGTCTTTAATGTAGGTGAATTTATAATTAGGTATAGAAAATGTAAGATTAGAATTATTAGTTGGAGCTTAGAAAAGATAGAATAAAATTTAATATATAAAAATGATATTACATTAATCTACCACAATGTTCTGACTCTAAAAAGTAGTCGTACAACTGTGTAGTACATGCTAAAAAATACAGTTTGATGGTGTGTTTGCTAGATGTTATCTTCATCTTCAACTGATTTAGAGATATATATGCCATATTCTTCATTCTGTTCTGCCATGTCAGCCATCTCTTGAGATATTTCACCATATATCTGCAAACTTTTTCCTTCATTGTGGCACCATTCACTGCAAAAAAAATCTGCAAAAGGACTATAACAAATCCAGTACCCATAACAGGACCTAGTAACAAATTGTGAGCATTCATAAAAAACAATGATTTAGGAATATAATCCTAAATGATTGAAAGTTTCAGTCTAGCTGTTTGAGTGTAGAAAAAAAAATGTCAACATAAAATCCATTGTTACAAAAAAGAGACCAATAGAGCACATTGTCAATCATTAAAGTCATTACACATCTGCTTCCTTCTCAATCTTGACCACACATTCCTTGGTTTTTTTTTTTGAACTTTGGGTGCTTGAAAATTCATCGATTAGTGATCTCTTGACTGTTCCATTCTCAATACTATTCTCTGCATCCAGTCTCTGTGCAACAACTTGGAGTGGACTTTCAGCTTCATTTGCTTGGTCTGCTTCCTACAAAATCAGCAGTTCAAACTGTATAAGTAACCAATAATAATAAATTATACAGTAATTGGTACAACATGTTAATCTTTAACCCCAAGTATACCTCTAGATCCCATAGGTCCTCATCTGTAAGCTCCAACTCCAACTTTGAACTGAGATCCCTGTCCCTAACTCCTATTAGTTCGGGTGCATGCTTCTCTACAATCTTTTCATCAGTGATGATCCTCATAACAGGGAAAGCATTGAGATAATTCTGGAACTGTTCTTTGCGAACAGCAATTCTAAATAAGAGATTCAGTCCAATGAGAGCCTCGAGCTCCTTAGGCAGCCCTTTCCTTCCATACATAAAGAGTTAGTATAGATTTTAATGATCCTATATACCATATGATGTTGATTTTCACTGATATTGATGGCATATAATTTAAAACCACAACTTGTCTGGTTCAATCATCTTATAGTTTTGTACCTTAGTATGGGTATCCTTCAGATCATCTGCACTAATTCCAAGTAGATTGATGCACTCCCTGTCCCATAGAAGAAAAGGAGCATTGCCATCCAAGTCCACAACCCTCACCTTAATTCTGTACCTGAGTGTCCCGTCACCCCAATTCCTGTCACATGTACTACACCATAGCCACTTCCCTTTGAGTTTCAGTTTTTTGTTGCAACCCTTTGTTCTACACGAAGCATAGTACCACTCTGGGTCATCAATGAATACAATCCTTGCTGCCACCCAAAAATCCCCAAACTGCATAATATATTAGATTGTTAACAGAGTTTATTACAAACCCCACACCATCCCTGACACCATATGTGTGATTATATAGTCCAAATCTTCCAATTAGTAACTGCACCATCAATATGTCTTTGATTGTGCAGGTTTGGGAGTTAACAGGGAGTATTTGGTACCAAAACAAATAACAGCAGAGCTTAAAGAGATAAGTACATACTGGTGGTCTGAGTAATCTGAATAAGTTATATAGGACACCATATTTGTGTTACTATTTTTCTAACTCATGTTTATTATTATTTAATACAGGTCAAAAAACATCAGAACTTGGCTCTATTGTGCAGCTTTGAGCTTAACTCAAAGCATGGATTGAATTCAAGTAATATATTAGAGGTATTTTTTTAATACATGTTGTCTCAAGTGATAACACAATTGCATAATATAGAGGGCTGCAGAGTTGTTATAATATTTATGTACCTCATGCTCTATATCAATTGCAGGTTAAACATGGCAAAAGTTTGAACTACAATTGGATTGCAACATTGTAAAGACATGGATAGCGACAAAGTAGAGACATAGAGGTATATTATTAAGTGGTAAAATTCCATCTATAAAATCTAATAACTTTAAAGATGTTGGGTCTAATGTTTATCTTGATATAATTCTAACCTGTTTTAAAGTGTGATATACCAATACTTCATGGGCTAATTTGACTATAATTGTAAATGCAGACTACATAATCCAGCAGTTAGCATTGGTGTTCAACAAATGTCAGTCAGTTCAAAACTGTATACAGCTTTAACATGCAAGTAAGATCACTAATGACTTAACATTCTTACCTCCTTGTCTCTGTAGATGTCATTGATAGAACGAACTTCCAAATCACCAGATAGGTTTACTGAATAAGAGCTACATTCCTTAAAACTGGACTGGGAAATTATACTGCGCATTGGAGTCTGTTCATGGCTGATACTGTAAAATGATATTCTAAAATCAGGATTGACCTATCATGTAAATTTGTAGCTGCAAAAATAAGAATGGAAGTACCTCTTCCTGAACTCCTCAAATGGGGGAGATTCTTGGTTGAAAAGCAGCTGGGTTACATCATAGGAGCTACAAATCTTGACATCACCCCCTTTAGGAAATAATATTGTAGTACATTAGAACTGCTAATTGATGAATAAGTTAGGCAAAGTTGTAGGATTGAATTTACTTACTTTTTAAACAAACCCTAGCCCTACAAAATTGTATCAACACCAATAATGGCTCTTGTGAAGTAGAATTGTAGAATGCCTCAATCTTGCTTACGTGTTCATCCCACAAAGTACACATTAGTTGTATTCCACTATAAATGGCAAAAAAAATTATTAGAATATCAGAAATCTCTAAAATAGAAAATAACCCATAGGCACAGGAATTCAATAGTACTCAGTATCTTCAATGGTGAAGTCAATCAGCCTGGAGTTCTTGCCATTGATTAGTTTTTCCTGTGGGCAGTGTATTTCGATCACTCGACCAATGACATCTACAAAATAATGATTTAGAATATAGAATAGTATCCAGAATAGTAAATAATTAGAAACCATAGATTGAATGAGAATACTGATTACCAAATAATATTTTCTCATCAAGGCCTTCATTAGACTTGATCTCTCTAAAGGTCTTCAGCCGATACATTTTCATAGGAAATTTAACATGCTTTAAATCCTTAACAACAGTCTGATAGTTAAATTTGATCATGTACTTCTGTGGGCTGGTTTTGTATGAGTAAAAATTGCTGATAACACAAAAATTTTTTATAGCACACACTGAACCTTCAGCAAAACTGCTAAGGTACTTATCCACGTACTCTTTGGGTATATGAGCATGCAAGAAGGACCCCTGTGTATGTGTAAATAACAAAAACAGAGACTGTTAAATCTGGGAAAATGTACAAAAATAGGCACTGGATCTAAATTCGTAGTAAAAATACGAACTGTATAACTGAAAAAAGTGTATATCTATTTTTAACGAATACTTACCTCTTCATCATGCAGAACAACCTCTTTTGACCTAAACTTCGATGGATCACTTCTTTCAGGGATATTATATGCTCGCACCACCCGAAGCTTAAGAGCCTGCCTGGTATTCATTGAAGATATCTGGCTAGCAAGGACAAACATTTTTTGTTATTCAAGAAGAATCAGAGAGGCTATTGTAGAGGGAGATTGCGATTGTATTAAGTAGTTGTATATGTGTTGTATATATAAGGTCTGATGACCTTTCGTTATTGATCATCATCATCCTCATCAATAAATACCTAGAGAATAGGTATGGGTTAGTGGGCTCAATGTCCCATATGAACAAATTGATTACCTTAAATACATTCTCTAATCCCATTGGATGGGAGAATGATCTGTGTAGATATTTTGAAAAAATTAGGTTTCCTATATACATGTAGATATTATACTGCGTAGACCTTTGGTTTTCCGAAGCAAAAATAATAAATTCAGCGTGTTAGTCCAAAACGGCGTAGTTCCGGTTGGGCGGAAATATTTTGCTCCTATTGTTTTGCTTTAATATATATAGAGATATTTTGCAAACACATGATCCCTTTAATTTTTATTTTATTTTAAAAAAATCAAATGACTTAAAAATTTTACTTAATGCGGAAAAAAATTTCTAGCAGCCTAGACAAATGCAATTGCAAAAAAAAATTAAAAATCCACTTATCTCAAGAATACAAGAATGTATATAGCATATGTAAATAACATATTTAAAAAAATTTAAAAGCCAGACAGAGTAATACAAATATTAACATCCAGTCATAGCTCTTATTCGATGATGATTGAGTAGTCCTGGATTGTTTGCAGAGTTTACGTGAGTATCTCTTAGTTTTGTCTTTCACTTCTACTCAACTAGCTGTTCTAGATAGTGTATTAAGAATATTAGTGAGTAGCCCGCATGGGTAGCTCAACTGGTCATAGAGGTGAAACTTTGGAAGAATGATCGGGGATCGAGTCTCACCAGCGGCAGTGCGGGAGCAACCTCTCAAAGTGAGGGGGGCTCCACCAATGATTTACAACCTCCCACCGCTCTATTGGGCCGGGGTGTGGGGGGCCCTTAGGGTTGGGGTTCAGCCTTTTGGAAGAATATTAGTGAGCAGTGAGATAACTGGTGACCTTAAATAACCACGTGTCACTATTGTGTTAGTTGTATATCATTAGGTCTCCTAAACCTTAATCAGATTCTTGATCATAAATGAAGTCTAGCTTATTAGTGTTGTACCACATATCAAACACTTGATATTATTATAACTTATCTTAATGTTAGAATAATAAATTAAATAGGAATACGTTACACTGAAATCATATCATAATTCATAAGTGTGCATACTGTTCAATATTATTAAATACGGAGTACATATTATGTAGTCAGGAGAGTTTGAACAAAATCCTTTTTATTATAGTCCATCAATTAATGTAAGGCTCTATTTGGCACAGCTTATTTAGGACCTTATAGCTTATTTTAAGTTACTAATAAGCTATAAACTTTGTTTGGTAATATTCTCAAAATAAGCTCCTAGTTTAAAATAAGAGCTTATTTTGGAACGCTACTTTAAGGCTTTGTTTGGCAAACTTAGCTGAAAAGCTATAAGCAAGGAGCTTAAAGTTGAAAATGAGTTGAAAGTTGAAAATGAGTTGAAAGTTGAAAAGCTATAAGCTCGGAGCTGAAAACTGAAGAGCTGTTAAGCTAGCTGTTATGATTGAAAGTGTTTGGTAAAATTAACTTTTTGATAAGCTGATAAATGTAAAAAGACTAAAAAGGACATTTTCATAAACTTTAAATTAGTTTGTTTACATATTAAAATTTAACATTTTGTCTTTAAAAAATTAATATTTTGAAATAAAATTATTAGCATAATCATGATCTAACATCTCATAATGAAGTAGCAATATTGTTACAAATCTCATAATAATAATAATAATAATAATAATAATAATAATAATAATAATAATAATAATAATAATAATAATAATAATAAGAATATTATTATTATTATTATTATTATTATTATTATTATTATTATTATTATTATTATTATTATTTGCGGTGAAAGTTGCGGATAAAGGAGAAAAGAAAAAGGTTTTAATTGGGAAGGGTAAATTATGTCATTTCTTTAAAGTAATAAGGATAAAGATGGAAAAAAAGTTAGGAAGTTAGGAGCTTATTTTGAAACGCTACTTAAGGTACTTATCTCTATAAATTTGAAAAGTCAAAAGGATAAATAGGGAAATGTAGAGTAATAATTATGTTCAATTTTGGAAAGATAACATTATTTTGAGACAAACAAAAAAGGAAAGTAAGACAGTTAAAATGAGACGGAGGGAGTATTTCTTTTGTTTGGTTCAAGAAAAATATTTTCTATTGGAAAACATTTTTCATGCCCCTCCCTACTCCCTGATTTTTTTTTGTTCCATGATAAATAAGTAGGACAATTATGCCCTCACTAACTTTTCTTCATTATCATTATTATTATCGTTGTTGTTACTGTGTAGGGATATAATTGACTTTATACTCATTATTCCTTACAATTCCAAACCCAACAAAACAATGGAATCAATATTCATAGTAATTTATTTTTGGAAAATGTACAAATAGTCCATTGAGCTATTTGGGGATAGCAATTAAGCCACCGAACTCGAATAAGCTCTAAATTAATCCATAGTAATCCATGAATCCGAAAAAAAAGAGCAATTAACATTTTTAGCAGGTTAACAACATGTTTGTGCTGATTGGGATACCATGTGTATACATCATCATCATCATCATCATCCTCCTCCTCCTCCTCCTCCTCCTCTTCCTCTTCCTCCTCCTCCTCCTCCTAAGTATTTGACCATCTTCCTAGATTGACCAAGAGTCAAAATGAAATAGGAAAACCCTATTTCTTGTGTTCTCCCTGTACAAGTTTGTCGCCTTCCATCTCTTGATAATTGTTTTATTTCTTTAACCATCTCAGAAATAAAACTTAATATAACAAGAGTAATCACGAGAAATATTTCCAATAGCATTTGCGTGTACAGAAGAAAATACAAAGGACACTAGCATTGATTGGAAGCAAGATGAAATTGTTCTGGAAGTTAAATAGAGAAATTTATTAGTCAAAAAATAAAAGCTACTATGTTTTTTTTTTTTTTTTTTTTTTTGAAAACAAAGCTACTATGTTTAATCTCTCTATAAACAAACCGGGAATTTCATCTAAGACTTTGAAGAGATGTAAGCTAATGAAGTAGTAAATTTTATATGAAATTGAGGTTGTAAAACACCTTTCCAGGCCAAGTAAGAAGAACATGCTTCTCAGTTTCTAAACCACGTCGCCTTTGAATTGTTCCCAACCCTGCATATATAATTCCAACCATGTATTTATTACAGTTACGATAAACTACACAGTGAAATGATATGAAAATGTATTTATAATCCACAAGATACAGATTAAAACTGTTTATGAATACATTGGTAGAATTACCAGTGATGGGAGCACAAGAACGAATCAAGACAGCTGCTCTAACACCTTCTTTGTCTGCTGCTACAACATTGAGGATGATGTGGAGACCATAGCAGGGCAAATTATGCTGTGCAACTGTGTACACATGCATGATGCACACGGATTTGGATTCATAATTTTTATATTGTAAATTCATAATTTCTATACTATAGATTCATAATTATTGAACTCTATATTCACAATTACAAAACTCTATGTTTATAATTTTCAATGTTCATATTCCCAATTGTTGAACTCTTTATTCACAAATAACAGAACTATATGTTCATAATTTGATAACTATACAGTTTAGAAATTATGAATCTACAGTACAGAAATTATGAATCTACAGTACATATATTATTAATCTGCAGTATAGAAATTATGAATCTATTGTATAGAAATTATGAATCCAATTCCGTGTGCACCTTGCATGGTGCACACGATTGCACAGCTTAACGAAGTAACGCTCCCCATAGCAGAGGCAGGGCCGGCGAGATGGGCACCTGCCTTGAGCCCCACATTGGAATGGGTCCCCTAGTTTGGTTTTTTATTCTTTGATGAATTTAAAAAAAATTGTTTGCATATACAAAGATTTGAATCCATGACTTCTATATTATTTAATAATTTTAAATCTGCTTAACAATTACAACCATTTGATATTCTTATCTCAGTTAATTAATAGATATATATTAGTAAATGTTGAATTAATTTATAATTACACTTTATATAGGTGCTCAAAGTTTGAATGGACATTACACCAAGGCTATTCTAAATTTTTTTTTTTTTTCATTAGTAAAAAAAATTATATGTTTACCAAAATACAAAATTATCATTTAATTATTTTCAATTAACCCATACAATCTTTTCAGAGTTAACACCCACAATGGTCCTCGACTATAATGGTTTTTCTCAATTTAGTCTTAAACGACTTTGGTGACCTAATGTAGTCTTAGACTTTTGTGTTTTTGTTCAATTTAGTCATTCATTTGTTATTCATTCCATCCATTTGGTGAATAAATAGAGGGACAATTCAGTAATTTTAATATTGACATCTCTTTACTCATAGACCTGTGAAGTACGATATCCTTCTTTCTTTTACGAATTACTACCATAATATTACTCCCAAACCCGCGAATATAAAATTGATTCGCAGGTTTAGGAGTAATTTTGGTAGCAATTCGTAAAAGAAAAAGGGATTTTGCACTTCACAGGGCTGAGAGTAAAGATAGGCCAATATTGAGATTACTAAATTGTCCCTTTATTTAACACCAATTTGATGGAATAACAAGTGAAGGACTAAATTGAGCAAAAATACAAAAATTTGAGACTATATTAGGTCATCAAAGTCGTTTAATTTATGACGAAATTGAAAAAAACCATTATAGTCGAGTAACATTTTGAGTATTAACTTAATCTTTTAACTTCATATATAAAAGGGCTTTTATTTTAATTTCATCTCGAACCTATAAAATGATAGGATCGAGCCTGAGCAGAGGTATACATATGCATGTCCAACAGGACCAAACTATTTTGAAGTTAATATAAAATGACTTTAGAAAGCTTCTAAAGCTATATTTAAACTTAAACAAAGCAATGTCATTTACCACACAATTAGAATATCCTCAGTAGTTATTG